GTGTCCACAAGGTGTCTGTAACATTATCCTATAATTATTTTGTTTATAATATTGAAATTGCTATATGAAATCATTTCCTAATAATATATCACATTTAATTTATCATATTTATAAATTTTATTTATCGTTACTTGTTTACTTCCAAAAATTATATTAACTTTATCAACACTATTAATTATTTGAGTACTTTCTCCCGTAACACCAGTTATTTTTATTTTACTATTATTATTCCATGATTTTATTAAAAAACTTTTAAATATTGTTATATCACTTTCTGTATCTATTAAAACACAAGTTGTTATATTTGTTTCTACTATAGTAATTTGTATATACACAGCTAATGAAAAATTTATCTAATTATTCATCTAATTCTTTTTACATAATGTAGTTTGTCCATTATGATCAATATATAATTCTTCTCTTTTTATACTATAATCTTCTAATCTATTTAAAAAACTCATTTCTAAAAGTATATGAGGATTTATATCCATACTTTTATCTATGTAACATGGCACTAAAAGATCTATTCCTCATATTTTTATTGGTATCTTAACTTCTAAATCTGTTATATGTACTTGTCCATCAAAATTTACATACTTATACGGCTCAGTTTTATGAGTTATTAGACCTTTATTTCTAATCGAAGCTATATGACATTCACTAGCTCCTGTATCTATTAATATATTTGGTCCATTTATATTTTTTCTTCCATTATAATATTTTCCTTTTATTTTCATGTTTTCAGCATTCCTATATAATTTTACTTCTTTTATTTTGTTGATTTCTTCTAATTGGTTTTTATTAAGTATTTTAAAATTTTTTGATCATTTAATTAATTTTTCATTCTTAAATGTTATGTTATTAGAACATCCTCCTTCATTTAATTCTGTTATTTCATGTTTATTTTTTGCTATACTAAATTCATATTCTTCTGAAATTAAACTTATCTGTTTGTTTGGTTCTATTATTTTACTAATATCTTTACATTCTTTATGAACTTCAATTATGGTTTACTGAAATAAATATTTTCATAATTAGAATTGGTAAATGTGTATAAAGCTCTATATTCTATAGTCATAATTTGATCACCTGATTGCATAATATCATTTCTATGAAACTTGAAATGTAGTCCTAAAACTTCATTAAAATTTTTATCTTTCAATGATACACAATATTTTGAATAACATGTAAACATGATTTTTTGATATGCTAAATTTCCTACTATTGTTCCTAAATGACTATCTTTTAAATTTATTATTATTCCATCGTGTAAAGTTATAGTTAAGAGTGAATATATCCCTTCTCTAAATAGCGATTTAAACATTATTTGTATTCCTACTAAATAAACATATTGAATTTTTTCACTTTGTTTTTTGCTAATCTTTGTTAATAGTTCATCAACTGTATTTTTTTATTAAAAGATTTAATTTATGTTGCACATAAGTTGTTCTTACATCTATGATTTTTTCTATTTTGTGATATTCATTTATTGTTATTCTTTCTCTTTTCCAAATTCTATCAAAAACTTCCCATTTTCCTATTTTTAAATCTAAAATAATTTTTGTAATTTTTTAAACTTGTTATTATCAAAGGTGACTTTTAATCCATACCTTCTATTCCTTCATATTCTTGTATATTTATGTTATTACTTTCTATTTATTCAATTTCTCTCTTCAGATCTTGATCAATTTTCTGTTTCACTTATATACACTTCTTGATTATAATATTCTTCAATATCCGATATTTTACTTAATTCATCTTTTATTTCTAAATATCCTTTTTGTAATATTCTAATTTTCTTTTTATCACAATCAGGATTTATATGACCTATTTCTCCGCAATTCCAACATTTACATTGGATTTTATTTTTCTTATAATTCTTATTTTTATGTTGTTTATATGTGTTATTTTTTCTTTTATAATATCTCCTTTTAGGCTTTATGTATTTCTTATTAAAATTTCTAAATTTTTTAAATTTTTTATTTTTAAATTTTCTTTTATTAATTCTTCTTTCAGAATTACATCCTCATTGCACAGGGGTTTCTATATTTTCACAATATATTATAGTTAATTTTCCTGATTTTTTCATTAATTGTCTTTGTGGACATATATATGCAAGTCTTTCAAATAAAAATTTTATTCTTAAACCTAAAGTTCTAGGTATTCCAATATTATCTCTAACATATTTTTCAAATTCTATTTTAAAATATATTCCACAAGAAGCTAGTAATTTATTATAGTACATATCTTGGTATACTTCTTGATTTTCATTACTGTAAAATTAAACATAATAATAGTTTCTAAATTCACAATTATGTTCTTTAATTTACATATATCACATATTGTTAAATTTATTGATTTAATCATAGCACTATCTTTTTCTCTTATTTATTCTCTTTCAGTATTTCTTATCCAATTTTCTTCTAAAAATTCATCAAAAATATATTCTACTAAGGGGAATGTTTGATAGCACGGAAATGGAAAAAAAAGAAAGATGGAATTGGAAATTTCAACTTTTGGTGTTTGATACCTTATATTTTCCATGGAATTGCATTGCTTGGATTTCTTGGAACTTAGAATTTTCCTTGTTTTAGTGGAATTTGAATTCTCACCATATATGGTGAGAATTCAAATTCCATCCTACTATAGCGATTATTATTATTTTTTCATCTTTTTTTTTTTTGTAATGGAAACAAATTCTAAGAATTATTGTAAAAAAATATTTTCCTTTAATTAAAATTTTCATGTAAAACAAAGCCAAACGAACATTAAAAAACACTTTTATTTTAACATTTTCCACGTGGAAAATTATACCAATCAAACATAATAATTTACAATTCCTAGGAAAACAATTCTAGGCAATTCAATTCCATTTTTGCAATCAAACGGACCATAATTTTTCTATACCTTGTCTATCTGACTTATTATTTCTATCTGTACATTTCTTTTTATTAATATTTTTGTATCATTACTTATTCCTTCCCACCAACTTCTAACATCTCCTTCAAAGAATGCTGTTAAAAAATCTATTATTCTTTCAGTACTTTCTCATGTGTCATATTTATTATATAAAAAGAATAATATCATCGAATCTGCTCAAGTTAATGAAGCTTTTTTAGTATCTATTTTACAATTTAAATCTAGTTTTGTTCCTCCACGATTAATTGGTTTATCATAATTATCATTTAATTCAAACCTATCTTTATATTTATTTCCTTTAGGTGGTTGTCTATTTCTTACTTTATCATAGAATTGTCTATATGGTTTATTATATATAAGTGCATAACTTTCATCTATATCATGTAATTCTTGTTTAGAGATTCCTGCTGGATTAGATCCTTATCCAGTATTCATTAAAACTTGGTATTCACTTATATCAGTTAAACTTAATTGATCAAAATTTTCTATTAATAAATCTAACTCTTCATTCATTTTTATCTTATCTATAAGTTTTTTATCTATTTTTTATTTTCTTTTAATTCTCTAATCTCAATTTTTAATATATTTATATCATTTCTTGTTTCTTTTACTCCACTTCTCAAATCTTGTACATCATTTATTAACATTTTTATTAATGATTTTACTTCTTCCATATATTCACTTATTGACATTTTAATTTTTTCTTATTTCTAACTTATAAGTTAATTTGTATTTTTTATCTATTATTTTTCTAAATCTTCTCTCAACTGTTTCTGGACCTACTGATTCTTCTTTTACTATAGTAAAATATTTGCTCTCAAGTCTTAGTCTTTCACATTTTGATTTTGTTAATTGTCTATTATTTGGTATTCTGATTCCTTCTGGTATTAATATTATATTTCTTATTTCTTCTTGTATTTTATCCATTTCTAAAAGTAATTTATTCAATTTTTGATGTGTATTATCAATTATACTCATATTTTTCTTTATAATATAAATTATTTTCTTCATCTTCATATATATTAATAAATTTTTTCATATGTATAAATATCTTTTATTTTTTCTATTATTAATTTTTCTAATATTTGTTCCTTTATTTCTTTAGGAAGTTCTTTAATTATTGTCAAAGTCATTATTTTTAATTTATTATGAATAGGTTTTAAAAATATATAACTACTTTTTTCTTCTTCTAAACACCAATAATTATCTATTTTTCGTATTTTAATTTTCATGATCTCTATGGCTCTGATACCAATTAGGGGGGTTACTTAGAGCGAACAAAAATCAATTAAATCAAATAAAAATTATCAAATTTCAACCAACATTTAATTTTGAGGACTAAAATAGAAAATCTCTATATTATGATGCCTTGTTATGTAATATCCAATTGAAGACTTTTTTTAGATTTGTAAATTGGCTAAGGGTCATTTTGGAAAAGTAACCATTTTCAAAATGTTATTTCCATATATTTCCCTTAAAAATTCCCCACTAGCCGGAGGATAGGGAGGGCCACCCTTCTCGACTCCAACCCTAAGCCCGTGTCACCATCTCCTCTCCCCAATTTGACCCACATACGATATAGAAAATAATTAAAGTCCAAATTGGGATAAAACTTGGTTTAACCTTGCTAGCAGCGCCCTTAAAATAGGGGTGGGGCAAATTTTTTTGTCTTTCCTAATTCACATGGGTCTCGCATGAATCGCAGCACATGTGAAAGATTGTCAAGCAGTGTATCAAATTTGATCTGACAAATTAATTTAGAGGGTGTTTGGGAGCTATTTTTATGTAAAAATGCATTTTGAAATAGTAAATTGATAGGAAATGTGTGATTGAAAAATAAAAAAATTTTATTTATTTATGTGTAATATTATTTTAATAAAAAATGTGTGATTAAATAAAAGAAAGAAAAAATATATTTTTAAAAAAATGGAAATCAAACGGGGATTTAATTCAACTTGGCCCATGCAAAAGAGAACGCTTCAACCGCAGTATTTCCCGGCTAAATAGGTAACCCATGCATTGCACACGTGTACAGCACACATTTTCTCCATTTGCTCTCTCCCATTTATTTCTCCATTTTCTCTCACACACTCTCTCTCACTTCGTCGCGCTCTTCCATTTACTCTCCCCGCCAATTCCCATTCTTGTTCTTCTTCACCTTTCAGAATTTTTAACCCCAAATATCCACTTAGGGTTATGTTTCTCTAATTAAAGAATTCGATTTCTCGTTTATGTGTTGTTCACTGGTTTTCTGACACCACAATTGAGTTGAAGGGACGGGCAGTACATTGTATAATATAGTTTTGAATTTGTTAGCTGATCAGGTCTTCTGGAGAAGATCTGAGAGTGTAATTTGTGAAAGTAAAAATGAGCGCTTCGAGATTCATAAAGTGCGTCACTGTGGGCGATGGTGCTGTTGGCAAGACCTGTCTTTTGATTTCCTACACCAGCAATACTTTCCCCACGGTCTGCTTCAGTCTTCTTTCCATCCATTTTAAATTCTAATAATGAATTATTATTTCGTTTCCGTGATATTTGAAGTTGGCATTTTAAAGTGAAATCTTGTAATTTGTTTGTGGCACATGTTGAAATTAATTCCATCATTTGGATATTTTGCCTTTTGTTGAGTGTTTATTGTTGGGTATTATTGTTGCATTTTCATATCTCGACAATTGTATGGAATTCTCCCTTCTTTTCTTTTGGGGTCGAGATGAATATATCTTTAGGTTTTGCTACTTGTCCACAGGGGTTGACAGCCCGGTGTACAGTCCCCTCAGGGCTGTCAACCCCGGTGTACTTGTGGCAAAACCCTATATCTTTTTATGTTACCTCTTCATTCATTGTCAGTTGAGAATTTTTCATCCCATGGAAGAATTTCTGGTATGTATTGCAAGAAAAAAAAATAAAAAATTGAAGAAAAAGGAACACATTTCTATATATTTATATGTTTTATCAGATATCACGAATTTCTTACGTGAATTATGCATGGTGAAAATTAAAGTGAATGTCATCTGCAACTATTTGATTTGTATAAAATTATTTATCTATGCATTTATTTTTGTTTATGGATTAAATTATTTTCACAGAACTCACAATTACTGGTAAAAATGTTCCATTTCTCTTGCAATAATAATAGAATTCCTCTTATAGGACAACAAATTGTTCTAACCGACAATGAATAAATATTGTAGCAACTCCAAATGAGGATATCTTTAGAAACGGAAGAAAAAGCTCATCAACAATCCCCGTTTTTGTTTATTGAATGAACTCATTTACTATATGTATAATTAACTTTCTGCAAATGCCAATGTGGAAATAAGTGTTACAGTCTTTTTATTGATAATTATGATTTTTACAATTGAAGAATTCTATATATGTTTGGTTTTTGTTTCCGATGTGAACTCTTTCGTCTGTTTTTGCCCTGTTTTCTGACTCTTAGCTGTGCTACAACTATAGCATTTTTTGCATTCTGTAAGGGCTCTCCTCTTCTAGAAATAGTTGAAGACGTGGTGATATGTTATCATGCTTCAAGTCTATATATTGAAATTGTCTTGGATTTTTTGTAGTTTCACTGATCTTCTGTTAGTGATAAAACTGTATTCTTTCCCAAATGAATTATCAGTTTTAACTTTTTGTTTTCGTATTTTTAAATGAAACAGGACTATGTACCTACTGTATTTGATAATTTCAGTGCAAATGTCATTGTCAATGGAAGCACTGTTAACCTAGGCCTCTGGGATACTGCTGGTAGGTAACCTCTTAAATTATTTTGCATAATTTATGTACTGCCAAGCTTTTTCGACCCTGTGCATGCTTTATTATTTGCAAAATTAGATCTTAATGCATATTTATTGCAGTATGTGACTTTAGGAACCTCAAATTTTTATGTGAAACAGGACAGGAGGACTATAACAGATTAAGACCTTTGAGTTATCGTGGAGCTGATGTTTTCATTTTGGCATTTTCTCTCATTAGCAAGGCAAGCTATGAAAATGTTTCCAAGAAGGTGAGAATTGATGGCTAAAAAAATAAAAATAAAAAGAAAATCTTTTTGGTTCCCACTTTCTTACAAGGATTAGCAAGAATTTCTTCTGGTTTGATAACTCTCTTGTGCTTTTTACACTTTTCAGTGGATTCCTGAGTTGAAGCATTATGCTCCTGGTGTCCCTATAGTTCTTGTGGGAACAAAACTTGGTGAGATATTCGAGTAACTTGATTTTCTTTTAGCTACTGAACCATATCTGCATGATGCGTTGTTGAATTATTATGTTATATACTTTATTTTATTCTATGGAAGAAACCACCCATTTTAAAGGGGGAACAGTTTCAAATCTCACCTTGCCCCCTATTATCCCCAATTCCCCAACCCCCAAAACCAGAGGACTTTGGGTAGTGGTAATGGAGAGGTCTTTATATACAGAATCATCAAGGCTGCCAAAAATGCTTTCACCTCGCCGTCCTATTTAGTTAAAATGATTTTGTTTTTAATACTTCTTATATTTATTTCAAATATATATATTTTTTATTAGATTGAAATGAAACAACCTGATGAAAGTAATAAGGACCACTTTACCATTACCATATTTGTAATCGTTGCCATTTTCCATTGTGCTTCTACCAAGATATTCACAAGGCTTTGTAAATGATCATTACGTGCTATATATTTCTTGTTTGGTCTATAATCTTTTTATTCTTACACCAGAAGCTGCAACTTAATGGGAAGAAGAGATTGTGGATCTTCATTTGTTTACAAGTATTGTATGTAGAATACTTGGTCACTGGCACTCGATCTAGAATTCTTGCATCAATTCTCTATTTTTATGTGATAGACATCCTGATATTTCTTTATAAACCCTTGTGTACATAATTTATAATTTTAATAATTAAATATGATGTTTCTATCTGATGGATTCAGATCTTCGAGATGACAAACAATTCTTTGTTGACCATCCTGGCGCTGTACCAATCACTACAGCTCAGGTGAAGTCCGATCACTACAATTTATGATGTTCAATTGGAGAAAACTTCGATTTCATTTTAAATATTTCAAATGCCTCTTTTCACTTGCAGGGGGAGGAGCTACTTAAAGTGATTGGGGCACCTGCTTATATTGAATGTAGTTCAAAAACACAGCTGGTGCGTATGCATGGATATCACGTTTTCTTCCCCTCCCCCTCCCCCCAACTCTATAAGCCTCAAATTAAAATTTCTTGAAACATGCTCGCAGAATGTGAAAGGACTTTTTGACGCTGCAATTAAGGTTGTGCTCCAGCCGCCAAAACAGAAGAAAAAGAAGGGACGGGCTCAAAAGGCCTGCTCTATATTATGAGGCTATTACATTGGATCTTAATTGTATTCATCTCCTTTGTCTTATTCTATCTTCCTTCGCCTCAGAGGAAGTCGGAGGTCCTCTTCTTTGTTAAAGTATTGGTGGCTTGGTTTCTCTTGGTATCAATTGTTGAGTCACACAGTAGCGACTACATTGCTCTCGGTATCAATTGTTGGTGTCATGGTTTTTATTTCTATGTATTGACCGAACAAAAATTCCTTTTGGAGAACACATTTGCCTTGCAACTTTGTGTAATATTATTCAGTTCTTATGAATGTTGAAGCAAATCACAATTCGATTCCATTTGTCACAAAGTTTTGGCTATTCCGTGCTGAGCAATGCTATTATGGTCAATCGAGCTTCTGAATCTTGACATAGTTGTAAACATTGTCTGTTTTTTCATTTACCACATCACCTTGATAGAGTTTGTAAGATTATATTTGAAGATGAATTTTTGTAAAAGTTGTTCTGTGCATATGTGACGGGTTATTTATTTAGTCCTATTGGCATTGCACCATAGCGAGGTTTCATAGCATTTCTCATTTTTATTTTTACAATTCACGAGGTTAATTTTCAAAAGATTAATGATATTTATTGAAGAATGTGGCGACAGTCATCAAAGCCGTTGTTGATGAATAGAATTCTTGGAAATAGGCTGGAAATCATGAGGTGGCAGTCACATCAGGAAATAATGAATGATTAATGATGATGAGTGGGTCCAAGTTCTGAATATGTTGATATACGTGTACCAACATAAATTTTGCATTTGGATATTGATAATTGGATAGCAAAGTTAAAGTCCAACTCAAACTAATAGGCATCAAATCATTTACCCATGGTTTATTTGTTAATATTAGTAGTTATAGCAAATGATTGAAGAGAGATCCAATCAAAATACAACATATTTGGTGGGAAAATACAATTATTCAATTAATTGGATAAGGAACAAGGATGACTGTAGCATCAATCCCTAATATTTCACTTTTTCGTAGATTTTACTCCAATATCAATTTGTGCTAATAAATAAAGGACTCAAATCTTTGAAAAATTAACAAATTGGAGCCCAAATGGCCATCCATTTCATCGTTAGTTGATTAAGAAAGTTAAAAATTGATCAATTTTAACTAAACTAAAAATGATAAAATGGTAACTTTACAATTTTACTTACATTAAATAAGTTAAAAATTAAATTAAAAATTCAAAAAATAAAAATAAAGTATATTCTATGGTCCTTTAATTTTAATTGGTCATATATATTATTTTCTTTAGTTGGAGCTTAGAGTTTCATTTCCCGCTAAACAACCCTTAGCTCCCGTTTGGCCCTCATTTTGTGGTAATGAAAATAGGTGGAATAGTGTTTTTTTGAAAAATGAGCGGTTGGAAAAGAAAGAAAAATTTTCGATTTACGTGTAATATTATTTTATGAAAGATTGTGTCGTTGAAAATAAGAGAAAGAAAAATGAAATGTAATGAAATAAAAATTAATGGGGGCCAAACAAGGACTTAATATGTTAAAAATCTCGACTAGAAGCTACATGACATATTGTTGATAATTCTTAGCCTGTTGGTGTATGACATTAATGACAATTTATTATTTCCTCACCAATACGCTTAAACCTCTAATGAAGTTGAAAACTCAAAAACATTAAGAATCTGTTTGGTAGGGCTTCTGTTTCTTGAAGAAGAATTTTTTAATATTTGGAAACTAATTTTTAAAAAAGCTTCTATTGTCTGAGAAACTTTTAAAGGAAGTCTTTAAGTTGAGAGGAATAATACATGAATGGCAGTTCTCAGAAGAGGTAATTGTTCCCTTGCAAGAGATAAAGGAATATAAGTCAGGCGACCTCTTTTTATCAATCAATCTCGCTCCTTTTTAAAGATGTGCTCTCACTTCCTTCTTCTTCTGTTCCATCCAAGCCTTCAGTCCCCCTACCTTCAATGAAATTGGAATTGGAACAATGGACCCCACTTTAAACCTCCTGATCTTGCTAGTTGGGGGATTATTCTTTCAAGATTCAATCTTTCCCCCTTTGGAAAGTGATAGGACTAGAGGGAATGCTTGCGGGAAAGCACTTCCAACAACTAAACCAAAGGAGACGCGGATTGTCGAGGGCCATAGCTCCCTGCCCCATCCAATCTCCCGTTGGCCTTTGAAACTGGGGAGTATTAAAAGAGTCTGTTTAAAAGAAGAAAGCACTACTTCAAAAGAAAGGTGCATTAGCGGTTAATGCGTTGTAATTGGATAAGTTATTAGGAATATGATGGAAACACTTTTGTGAGCTTATCGACTTCTGCCTCTACCTACCGCACAATGTTCCGTTGCTTGGTGGGTTTTGTCAGAGTTTTCATTCAATTATTTACCGGTAAAAGGAGTGAGGGTAATCACTTTTTATATTATGGCTAACAAAGGGAAGAGCAAATTGCTTTTTGCTCATATTCAAGCTCAGAGGGGTACAACTAATCAGGCCCCTGCTGAGGAGTTAACTCGACTCACGTTGGATCAACAGGTAGTTATTGGGCCATCTTCTTTTAAAAGTGCTTCTAATTACTTTTATAAAATGAAACAAAATGAGTTTAAAAGTAATTTTTGAATCTCAAAATCTTATATTTGATTTCATAAAGGTCGTGCTGACAGCCAGATGATCCTAAAAGAATTTGAAATTAAGGTCTTGCGATATAAAATTCTTAGCAATACAAATCAAATTACTAAGAAGAATGAGCAAAATAATGCTATAAAAACCTTCCTCTAAAACTACATTCTTTTTTAGTTATGCCAAGATTCAAGAATTATGCCTCATCCAGGTGTTGTATTTGTTGGGAAAATATATCGATTTTATCGTTAAATAATTTATATTTTATAATAAACAGTTGGACAGAGTTTTGACTTATAGAGTGAATGAAATAAAACAGAATGATTAATGGTCAAGACAAGAGTTCGATTCTTTTTTCTTAAAACAATAATGTTCTGCATTAGTACTGACGGTCTTTTGATACTCGTCGCCTAAGATACAACGATCTCGACTTGTAATAGTAGCACTCCAAATTACAAGACCCAACGAACCTACTAATATTTTAATCTCTCTAAAATTAGATGACTAAAATGCATGAAAATAATATTCAGAACCGAAATGTAAAACATGGAATAATGCTGGAATAAAGGAATATAATTTTCAAGAGAGAAAAATCGGAATTGATTTGGAATGAATAAAATTTGAAATACGGGAGCCTATATATAGAAATTGAAAAGTTGTTTCCAAAAGTCCATGTTTTGAACAGACACAGTTCATTTGGACATACAGTTTAACAATCAATCGTCAGTTTCTAAAAGATGTCACGTATCGAGCATAGTAAAAATCTGGAGAAAATAATTAATATAAATAAATATATTAATTTAATTTAATAATAAAATAACTTAATTCAAATATTCTTTTACAAAAAATATATATACCAACAAGGCTCACTCCCACGACCCGTGTCGACCGGTCGGACGACAGCCGCATTCATGTCTTCAACTTAATCTACTAGCATATAGATCCTTCCTTTTCAAAGACTATTGGTACATTTAGGGCCCAAACTCAAGTCACAACCTTAAGCAATATAAAGTGGTTTCTATTCTTTTAATTTTACTACTTGCGATTGATATTTTTCAATTTTTCATTAATTTTTATTCTCAATCTGTTTCAATTTCAAATTGTCATCTTTTGACATTAAATTCACATTTTAATTAGATTTCTCATTATAGAACAACAGTAGAAGAAACATTTAAAAATTGATATTGTACTAGCAATTGTTAGAGCATTTACAATGAAATGAAGACGTTGAAGTTGAAGTTGAAGTTGAAGTTCCAAAATACCCCCATTCTTCAAATTTAATTTACAAAAATGAACCTCCCCATTGATGCATGGCACTACATTTAATGGAAGGACAATTTGGGAAATTGAAAAGGGCCATGCCATCAGCCAGTTTGGCCCCATTCTTAGCTAAATTTTTCTCACTTTTCAAGCATTTGTGGGCCCCAATGTAAGACAACTTTCAATTAATTCTGACAATGTACATTACGCATGGCGTCAAAAAATGGAAGTGACAGTTGCCATATTTTAAAGTCCCTATCAATGCCCTTCAATTTTTGTGTGTTGGGTGGCACGTGTACATTTCCAAGTAAAATCCGAGGGCAAAATTGACAGTCCATCTCAATGGCATTTCACTTAAAAATACATTCTGACTCAATTCTTGTCATGGATTGTCATGTCGCTACTGTGTAAAAATGAGACCCGGTAAAATTTACTCATTAAAATGAGTGTCAAACGGCGGCTAAGTGTACACACTCATTTTTCAATTGGAAATTAGGCACCGTTTGACCTTCATTATTTTTTATTACATTAAATTAAATTTTTTTCCTTCCTTCCTTTTAATCATACAATTTTCAATGAAATAATATTATACATAAATCAAAAACTTTTCAATCACTCATTTTTCAAAAAAATGCTATTCATCTGATTATAATCTACAAATAATGGGCGGATAGTACTTGCCATCACACTCACTGAAGTCCACAATCAATTATTTTAATGGTTTTGCCACTCAAACAAGGCCAAGTGACGGGTCATGTTGCCACGACGTCTAAGGGCCCATCAATTCGACCTGTCTCTATAACAGGACCCATTATTTTAAGTCACAACTAACAAACATCAACTTGTTCGTCCCACGGTGGTAACAAAATAATTGGCCCAATCTCATTTTAATGGGGTCAAACGGGGTCTAAATATATACATTAATCTACTTATAGAGTAGAATACACTCGGCCAAAAAATTCTTTTATCCAATTAAAGGAATCCACTTAAATAATTGATCAAAATTTGTCAAATCAACTAATTACTCCAATTTTCCAATAGTATTCTAAACTTCTTGTGTTTGAATTGGTTAATTACTTAATTAGTATAATTATTTAAAATTCCACACTACTTTTTGGTACTTTAGTAGGTTAAGAGTATCAGTATCATTACATTTCGAGGATTTGTCTTTGTCCAATCATCATCCACTTGACCAAATATACCCAAATTTTTATCATTGCTTTACTTTGGAGCAAAAAGTTAAAATAGAAAAGGAAAAGGAAAAAGAAAGCTTTCGAGTTTGAATATTCATCTTCAGCAGAATCAAGCAAAGGCGTCCTACCCAGAAAGCAAGCACGACAATCTCTCTCTCTCTGTTTTGTAAAATTCTACGAAGATGTTTGTGTTCATGTTCGGTCAGAAGAAAATTTTTGGAGGGTTCATGTGTGATTAAAAAATGATGGAAAAGTTCCGAGACTTGGGAGCATCGCAAGAAATTGTTTTAGAGCACAAACTGAATTTGGCCCCATAACTTAGGATGCATGGACATTTTTTAGACTATGGTATTTCAATTTGGCCACGTTTCAAAAATCGAAACTCTTCGAGCAGGAGCGAATCTAGGGACGGATAGGGTTGTACTACGACCTATCTCTCCAGTCCAAAATGTTAATTAAAAATATAAATCTAAGTAATTTTTTTTTTTTCTTTTTGCGTATTAGCTCGTACTGAATTTTATTCCTGAATCTGCCTGTCTTCGAGGAAAATCTTACTTGAACGTTTGCCCAAAATATTTGAAATCTTAAATTAAGAACTGCACATTATTATAAACTTAATAAATATCTATCCTTAATAAAATATACAAATAACACCCAAGAGAAATATTTTTTGAAATTATCTACTACTATATAAAGACAAACACTCTATCAATAATTTCAATGCTGGAAATATGGTATCTTGGTACACACTGATTGCTAATTAATGGCAAATTAATAAATTTCGCATAAAGTTAATTTTTGAAAATAATTTTTTACTTAAAAAAAAAAGTATTCAAACTTGTTCTGTTCATGCTTTTACTTCGGAAAATTATCTTTAAGGGTTCGTTTGATAGCAAATGTAGAGAAGGCAAATAAATTCTATGTACTTTAAAATAGAAAAAACAACCAAAATCATAAAAATTCGATTTCTATGGAATTGATCAAAAACATGCTTTAAATGTTTGTATTTTGAAATTCGAACTCTATTTTCTCACTTTCGTATCAAACAGTTAAGATAAAAAAACAAATTCCTCGTATATAACATTTTTCATGAAATACAACTCTATCAAATGGTCCCCAAGTAAACTTTATTGAAGACTCCTACCAATTAAAGCAACCAGTCTGAATGTATGCTGATTAATCACACGAGCGCCGTAATTATGACATCATAATCTCCTTTTATCACAATTTAATTAATCCGCTACACGTGCTCCCACCTATTCTTTTATCGTTGAATCCACCACCTACTTTCCAAAGCCTTCCTATCGAGTTAATTGTTCCAATAGTCACTGAACTTAGATTCATATTTTTTATCGGTCACTGAAGTTTAAAATATTAAGTTTTGACTACTGAACTTAGGTCAATATCTTCGATTGCTGACCGAACTTAGATTCATGTCTTTTATTGGTCACTGAAATTTAAAATATCGAGTTTTGACCACTGAACTTTAAAAATTTCAAATTTTGGTTATTGAACTTAGGAGGTCCATGTCTTCTATTGCTTACTGAAGTGTAAAATGTCGAGTTTTAATCACTAAATTTTGAAATATGTCATACGTTATTCACTAGTATAATTATTGAATTTTGAAAATATCAAATTTATAGTAAATAATTTACAGCATTTTCCAAAGTTTGGTAAGTAATGTCAAAATTCAGTGAGTGACGTACAACTTTTTAAAAGTTCAGTGGTTAAAACTTGATATTTTAAATTTTATCGAGCAATTGAAGATATGAATCTAAATTCAAATTCAGTGATCAAAATTCGATATTTTTCAAACTTCAATAACTAAAAATCAATATTTTAAATTTTAATGAGCAATCGAACAAATTAATCTAAATTCAATGATCAAAATTTGATATTTTAAACTTTATTGATTAATAAAAGACATGCAACTCAATGAACAGAACAATTAACTCCTCCTTATCCATTTATCGCCTTCATTTTCAAACCAAAGCCCACTTCCAAAATTAAACCTTCTTTCTGCTTTTGCGTTGAAGCGATTTTCTACCGCAATTGCACTCGAGTTCGAGTTGATCGAAAATAGAGTGGATTTATTGCGTGTTTTGGCAAAATTATGGCGGAGGATTCTTCCGAACAAGTAATGTATTTGCATGGAGATTTAGATTTACACATAATTGAGGCGCGTAGCCTGCCGAACATGGACTTAGTCTCGGAGAGTCTCCGCCGCTTTTTCACTGCCTGCGACGCCTGCCGCACCACTGATACCAAAGACGGTGGCGGAAGTAGCCATCACGAAAGGAAACTTCACCACCGCCGGAAAATTATCACCAGCGATCCGTATGTCACTGTTTTAGTGCCGCAGGCTACACTCGCCCGCACGCGCGTGCTCCCCAATTCTCAGAATCCTAGATGGAATGAGAGGTTTTACATTCCGTTAGCTCATCCCGTGGAGTTTTTAGAGTTCCGTGTTAAGGATAATGATATGATTGGAGCGGATACAATAGGAAAAGTAACAATTCCGGCGGAAAAGATTGCCTCCGGTGAGATCATTTCCGGTTGGTTTCCCCTCATTGCCTCGTCGAGGAAGCCCCCAAAACCCGATTCGGCGTTGCGACTTGAGATGAAGTTCACTCCCTGTGATAAAAGCCCATTGTACAATCACGGCATTGCGGGCGATCCGGCGTGCAGAGGGGTCAGAAACACTTATTTTCCACTCCGCAAAGGGTGCGCTGTAACGCTGTACCAGGATGCGCACATTAGTGATGAAGTTAAAATGCCTGACATTAAGTTGGATGATGGATGTGTTCGTGAGCACGCTAAATGTTGGGAGGACTTATGCTATGCTATCTCGGAGGCACACCACCTGATATACGTGGTGGGATGGTCTGTTTTTCATAAGATAAAGTTGGTTAGGGAGCCGACCAGACCGTTGCCTCGAGGTGGAGACTTGACACTTGGTGAATTGTTGAAGTATAAGTCTCAGGAAGGGGTTCGAGTTCTATTGTTGATATGGGATGATAAGACCTCACATAATAAGTTCTTGATTGATACGGTATGGATCGGTATGATGCTCTTAGTAATCCTTACTTCTTTTATGTTCTTTTCTAGTTTTGAAGATAGGTGGATACTTCTTGACTTTATGGTAAATATTGATTCTTTTGGTTTAAGTTTAAGATAATGATTGTTGACTAGGCTTTGAGGCATCCACACTATTGAAATTTGAATATAGTGCTCAGGGATGATTTTTTTGGCGAAGTGGAGTGCTGTGGAGTAGTTATTATGATTCTCCTGTTGGGCTGGTTTTTAGTATCTGTTCTTGAGAATTTCTTCCTTCCTTTCTCTCTATCATTTATTTTTATTTTTCAAAATTGTGCCGAAGGAGAACTAAAACTTACAGGAGGGAGATTTAAGAGATGACCCTTATTGTAATATCGCTCTCTGCTTTAACAAAGTCGAAAGGGGATTTTTCGTCTTCAATGCTTCCTTTTCTGTGGGTGTTCTATCCTGCGAAGTGGGCTGAGTTTGTGAATCTGTTGAGAAACAAGCCTTTCTTTTTCTCTTGCTGAATATTCACCCAGGGGATAACCTTTGCCACAGCTTGTAAACAGGATTCTTTTGGCCTTATTTTATTCCAGTGCACAATAGTTGGTCAAAAGAACTGGTCACAATGACATTTTTGTTAGTGAGTTGTATTATTTGGTGAATTGAAGTTACTCTTGCATGTATAACGTGGATTGTCTAGCTTTATTAAGAATATATAAAGCTTAACTTTAATTAGGTTACTCTTGAATCCTTACTTTATTTATGATTTTTTGGATCACAAATGAAACTAAACTTACATTCATAGCTTATTTTTCTAGTTTACTAAAAGAAGAAATCAGCATCAAACAAATGAGCCATTCTAATGCTGTAGCTAACTGCCATGGGAATAAGGTATTGGTAAGATACATTTAATTCCGTAGGTATGTTAGTACCTGAAGCAGGCACTTTGTCATCTCAATGAGCTCATGAATATTGAACAAAGCATTGTAGTATGTATTGCCTTAAATGACAAAAAGTCACCAATTACATATCTTGCTTGGTCTTGAAATCCATTTCATCTCGATCCTTTTCTCTTCCACAGATATTCCGGTCCATAGATTCAGGGTCAGTTAGAGGCTTTCCCAAATACTATGATGTTGCTCACTCTCAGGTTATAAAAACCCATCTCCATGCTTCATTTTTCAGCTTGTTATTTATGTAAAATTCCAACACTTTGTGTTGGCATGCTTCTAAGTCATAAATGGTTTCAAACTCATGACTATGGATTTTTGTGTTAACAATAACATCTGAATTGTTTTATTTAGAACCTTGTCTACTCAAAAAATCTGGTGATAGACAAAAGCATTCAAGTGGCATATATTCAGGCGATAAGATCTGCTCAGCATTTTATCTATATTGAGAATCAATACTTTCTTGGATCATCGTATGCTTGGCCAGCATACAAAGATGCAGGTGAAAATCACATTTTCTTTTTGCATTGAAGGAACTCATTGTTATCATTTTCCAGGCTAATTTTTTTGATGCATATTTCAACTGTATATTTTGAAATTCATTTAATTAAATGCTATGCTATTTTGACTAGACATATTTGGTCGAGCTCAGCTTCTTAATATTATCTTTGAAAATGGGAATTTTTTAAAATTCATTTGTCTGTCTATGAAATAATTCTTGTTGCTAGGCAGTCAAGATTATTTCTTTGTGAAGACCAAACTTCTATGTGCTTGATTACCAGGTTATATTTTCGTAGTTTCAATTATCTGAAAATTACTGCTGCATAAATTTATCAGGGGCTGATCATCTAATCCCAATGGAGTTAGCGCTGAAAATTGCTAGTAAAATAAGAGCCAAGGAGAGGTTTGCAGTATATGTTGTTATACCAATGTGGCCTGAGGGCAACCCCAAAGATAATGTTATGCAAGAAATTCTTTTTTGGCAGGTATTGCACTCTGAGTACCATGAAATAGTTGGCAGTTTCTTTAAGAGTAGAACTTTGGTGAACTTGGCGATTGTGTAAAGTAATTAATAGATTTTTTTTTTTTTATAGAAAATTAGAATAAGCGTAAGATAATTTATGCAAGTATTAAGTGTTAGGAAAAGATAACATTGATATAATTTTGCAGTTTACGAAAATATATATTTTTTGTTTTGAGTTATTTTATTTTATTGAAATTTAAGGAGAGGGACTAGAAAATATTTGCAGGAAGCAAGTGTGAAGTTAATGTCTTGGTTTAGTGAATTTGTTAAATGATGATTGAGAAGTTTGTGGTATATGTTGTTATGGGGATTTCTTTAAGAGTAGAACTCAGGTGAACTTGGTACATTGCCGAGTAATTAGTAACTAATTATTAGAAATTTTTTGATGGGAAATTAGAATGAGCGTAAGATCAGTCATGCTGGCATTAAGTGCTGGGAAAAGATACCATTGATAATTTTGCGATTTATGAAAATATATATTTTTTTGTTTTTAGTTATTTTATTATTTTGAAATTTGAAGAGAGGGACTAGAAAATATTCATAGTTTTTTGAATTTGTTAAATGATGATTGAGAAGAATGCAAGCTGGAAGTTTTTTGAATTTGTTAAATGATGGTTGAGAGGAATGCAAGCTGGAAACTTTTTCTTCTCATCCGAATTTGATTTTATAATAATATAAGTAAAAGCTAGTTTCTCATTGCTTACAGCTTTGAACTGTTACTCTTCTTACTGTAGCAACTAGTAATGTCTTTGATCTTTATCATTAGGAGAAGCTTAATGGTAGCATCATATGCCTATGAATCAATCTAAAAATATAAAGGATGATTCATGTGGCTTTACTTTAAATGCTCCGCAACCTACCCTGAGAAAAAAATTTTAGTCATGTAATAAAAATTGGTTTTAAGGTTTTGAAGACTCTTGCTATTTTTCTACTGTTAACTGGATCACCATGTGTTTTGGGGAACTATTGTTTGCCAATTTATTCTGTCCTCAAATGAAGAAATATTTGACAAGAGGTGTTGCGGATAAAGAAAAGGATTGGGAGATTATGTGGCTGAATGGTATTTGCACTTGACAGGGCCAGACAATGCAGATGATGTATCAAGTGGTTGCACAGGAGCTCAAGTCTATGCAAATTGTGGACTCACACCCTCTTGACTATTTGAATTTCTATTGCCTTGGGAACCGAGAAGAAATTCCAGACACGATTGCTCAGTCCTCAGGAGATGCTGATAAGGTAGTTGTTGAATGGAGACTTATTTATTACAAACCCATAGAAGGGGTGGTTTTTTTGTTTATGTTTTGAACCTTCATATTATTATTGCAATAAAATATTTTTTCAAATTTGGCAATGCTTTAACCTTTTATATCTTACACTATCTATTTATACTTTACTATTTGATTTCTTCCAACACTGCTGGGGGAGAGGTAGGAAAGAGGAGAGAGCAACATGGTCATCACACCTTGGGGTCTTAGGAATCAACCTTGACAGATAATGCATCATATCTCAACAAAGAGCTGAATGTTGCTTCATTCCATTTCTAAAGCTAGCTGAATCCAGTATATATTTTAACGGACTTCCCAAATTGTATATTTTCTGGGAATTTGCTTTAGATTGCTTTTTCCACTGGTTTTGAATCAGATCATCTTGTTTTAAGTCAGCCTGCACAATTTTTTTATACATCTATGGTCATAATTTCATATCTATCTTGCCACCACTGATGTGGCACATCAGCCATCAAACTTATTTTCATTAGGAAGTTCAATGGTAAATCTTCATTCAAGGACAAGCAAAAATTGAATTAGGTTTCTGTGTGTTCTTCATATCTATCTTCATGTGCACTTGCTGGTAATAATGCTATATATAATTTCTCCGACCTCTATATTGTCTGACAGCTCCGAAGTTGATACAGCCATAACCTCCTTACAACAATGACCTCGCCTTTGACTAGACACTGGCCTTGCCTGCACATTTTTTTTTTCTAATTTCAAATGAGAAGTCGAGGAAAACAATTGTCATGAGTGGAATGGGAGGTTTGATATAAGCATTCTATGTTTGTCAAACGGTACCCCTGGAAGCCTTTAATTCATAATCCTCATTTGATGGAACAGCATTACTGGATTGGCAGCATTATGTCTCCTCCTTACAATTCAATTTTGTACTTCAAATGTCCTTTTAATGGTTGTTTTCTCAACTAATTGGAGTTGTACTGGTGGTTTCACATGCAAATACATACATTATTGAACCATTACATTTTTTGTTCCTGCTTTGGGGGTTGTGACCATAAAATATAGATGAATTTGCAGTGACATTTCCTGATTAGTGTGGGATTGTATCTTGTGGCGTTCTTTAAATTATGTCTTGGTAAAAAATTCCTAAAGTTCTCCCCTTCAATTTGACATGAATTTAGGTTTCAGCCTCGCTAAAATTCAAGCGATTTATGATATATGTGCATGCCAAAGGAATGTTGGTGGATGATGAGTATGTGATAGTAGGATCTGCCAATATAAATCAAAGATCTATGGCCGGCACGAAAGACACGGAGATAGCAATGGGTGCGTATCAGCCCCATCACACTTGGGCAAAGAAGCAGCAGCCTCCACATGGCCAGGTTTGATTACTTACTGCATGGCAACTTTTCTGTTAGGTTCAAGTTTCCACTTTCTTTTTTTGGAGGGGGGATGGTGGTGTTTGACTTCGACGCCTGCTGGACTTAGCTCCCGAGGTGCATTAAAGGGATAATAGTTTCTCAACCATTTACTACATTGTATACACCCCCGTTTTCCTTATTACTACATTGTATACACCACGTTTTCCTTGTTATCATTTTCATGTGCAGGTTTACGGATATAGAATGTCCCTATGGGCTGAACACCTTGGGATGGTTGAAAAATGTTTTGAGGAGCCAGAGACAATGGAGTGCGTAAAGAGAGTAAACGAGGTTGCTGAAGATAATTGGAAGAGGTACACAGCCGAGGAGTTCACAACATTGGAAGGCCATCTTCTCAAGTATCCTATAGAAGTGGATGGTAGTGGAAATGTAAGTCCATTACCTGGACATGAGAATTTCCCAGATGTCGGGGGTAGAGTACTCGGGGCTCAGTGCCATGCCATTCCCGACGTTTTAACAACATGATCTTTGCCCATTGTGTTTCTGTTGAATTGTTGTGAAAATGTTATACTGTTCAGAAGGACATGTTTGATATAGCCTCTGGTTATTTTACTTAACAGAAATGTGAATTAAATGTAGAGCAGCAGCAAAAAGGAAAATAAAAAGAATAAAGATTTGTAATTTAACATGGTTTGTAATGTTAGATTGACCATAAGAAATGGTTTGCTTCCGATACAGCCAATTCATGGGTTTAGGTGAACTTCCGTCTCTCCCAGAGAGCAAAGTATTTTGCCAAGAACCATGAAAGTCTCCTAGGTAGCATTTTGGAATAAGCTATGAGCAACCTACCGTCAGTTCACAGTGCACTCTCCCCATGCTGTAAAAATCATCTCCATTTATCAACTTAGAGCTTTAGCTGATTTTTGGTGGACATTTTCAACTGTTGATAACTATTAGGGCTCGTTTGGCATGACTTTTGAAAAGTCAAAAAGAGCTTTTGAACTTGTTTGACTAATTTTGTAAAAGTGTTTTATCTAGTGAGAAGAACTTTGAGAGGATACTGATTCAATGTAACTTTCTCTAAAAGCATTTTTAAAATAGAAAGTGCTTTTAAAAATTAGTTTTCAAACAAAAATTAAAATAATTTTCTGCAAAAGCTCTTCTACAGAGAGTCAAAGATATATAGGTCGTTAGTGTTTGGCAAACACTTTACAATCACTTTGTTTTCAACGTTCTCATATTCAAGCAAAGTAAAATGATGGATTATGTAATGCATACAGTCCATATGGCTTTTGATTCAAGATTCTGCAGTAAGGCATGTGCAGAATCTACATGGCCGTGAAAGCATCTATCCATGAAAGTTTCGAATAGCACATGACATGAAGTTTTGATTCGGACATTACGCCTAGGGAGACTTCCATTAGAGGGAAGGATTGTCAAGTTTGACTTGACTCGGAAGGTTGAGGTTCCAAAAGAAATTCCTCCAGCTTTTGAGAGGACTCGAGCAAGAATATGGACTCCAATTTTCAATGGCATTGCTAGCTAATAACCACATTTAACTATTTTGTTTTTGCATTTGTTAAAGTGACGTATCTTCCACGAAGAAAAAATGACGTCTCAATTACAATGAGACAATATTGAGCGAGTAGCACTAGAATGCCACAAATATGTAGGTTCTCGATATCTAGTAGAAATAGATAAACTAAAATATATCACTGGTTACATATTTTAACACTCTCTTAATGTAATACAAATATGTCATCAAATAATATCCAATATCTAATGTAATAGGTTAAATTGTGTCTCTGTGTGCAATACCTCAAAAAGGATTTGTGGAGCGGGCAGCTTGAAGTGCAGTCATAAGTAATTAAGAATGAGAGTAATATGATTCAATTGTCCAAATGAATAAATTCAATTAATTATGATGCTCACCATTTCGGTCTTGCAAACATGTTATTTGTTGTGCTTTACAAATTTGCTACTAGTTTGACTAGATCATTGGGTCATGATGAATAAATTAGAAAAAAATAAAAAAAATTATTTAAAGTTATAAATTCGCCTCCAGAATCGAGGTACTCATCGTTTTGGTTCAAAAACCAAGAACCGTCTGATACTTATTGATTCTTGATTTCTATTCCTAGACTGATATGGTTTGGCTCGATTCCAATTAAAATATTCACAATTATAATTAAATATTTTTTATGTGCAAAATAGTAAAGAAGTTTACGAGGATAGAAGCGAATAGTATTAAAAATAATAACAAACGACTCGTTTATATACACACAACATCGAAAAGCGCCTCGCTAGTTAGGGTCTTCATTTCAGTTGACGAAAATGGCAAGCTCCCTCCCTCTCTCATCTCCGTATATACAAATTTTCGAATAGATTGTTGAAATTATATTCCTTTAATGTATTGGTTGTAGATTAACTAACAATAAAATGGTTTTTTCGATTCTTCGCAGGCTGATTCTCCTCGCAAAAGGTAAAATCCCGAATTTTTTTCTTTTATATATCTGGGTTGATTTTCTGCTTTGTGTGCTCTATTTATCTTCCTCTCGGTCTGGTATTCCTTCCGATCTATCAAATTGGGGTTTTAGGCTATTGGTTAAGATTGTAAATATCTGGTTTCTTATATTCTTCAGTTTTCTGTCGTTTTGATCATAAGGTAAATTATTACTCAAGGTTAATGTTTATCTGGGTTTTCCTTTATTTTAAGTGCCGCTATTTATCTTTTTTTTTTTTGT